ACACACACACACACACACACACACACACACACACACACACACACACACACAACACACACACACAACACACACACACACACACACACACACACACACATGCGCAGAACCACAAAAAAAAACTGCGCACTTAGACACAACTCGGCCTTTGGGACGGCTATGGTACTATGTGGGCTGGGCGGTATTATATGGCCTGCGTGATGCTACACACCTTGGATGGTATCACCGGACCAGGCGGCAAGATGTGGAGTGGCCCAGACTATGTGGACTGGATGTTACTAACACAAACACTCCCACAAAAGAAAAGAAAAGAACACAGACACGGCCACAAAAGAGAAAAAAGATAAAACATACGCCCAACATCCGGCACAATCGGCCCTTGCCATGGCCACTATGTGGGCCAAGTAGTAGATTGTGGCCTGGGTGATACTATTTCTATTCGGGTTGGACTGTCCTACGTGGGGTGGGTCATACCATGTGGACTGGGCGGTACTATGTGGGATGTTGGTTGAGCGGTTCTATCTGGGGCGGGTCGTACTACGTGGGCTGGGTGATACTAAGCAGGATGGACGGCACAATGTGGGGTGGGTTATACTATGTAGACTGTGGACTGAGTCACTGTGGTAATATGTAGCCCAGGTGATACTATGTGGGGTGGGTCATGGTATGTGGAATGGATGCCACTATGTGGGCTGGGCGGTACAGTGTGAGGTAGGTGGGCGATGCTACCTGGGCTGGGTGGTACAAAAAAAGACCAAAAACAAGAAAACCACAAAAAACAAAACAAGTCAAAGGAAAAAGAGAAAAAGAAGTCAAGACGATGTGGCTGAATGGTACACGGTGCACCCATAACTTACAAATAGACAGACCTGGGCTCCTACAAAGAGAAGTAAGAAAACAGATTCGAGGGCATACCCATAATAGCTCTATCTTAAACCACCAGTTTACCTGAGCCTAAGTTGAGCTCCTGCTGGTCTACACGGTAAGAGCTTTTTGATTCGGGCCTGGCCCAGTCGTGAACGAGGAAGGCCACGATGAAAAGTTCCAGTTGGCGGCTCGCGCGCCTTGGAAGGTAGCTTCGTTCAGCTTCGTTCAACTTACGCTCGTGTGAAGTGGTGTTTACAATGCATCTAACCGCGTTTACGGCTGGACCTGGATGCATCTGACTGCAATCATGTTCATAGATAAGTAAAAAAACTCCTAGTTTGAGTATGCCCTGACATCTTCTTTTCCCGTTTCGGGGTGAGCCCCATGCTGATTCAAGCTCGCGACTGGTTGCTAACAGTCACATGTCTTCTTTCCATCCACATGGGGCCTGCTATGTGCTTGTAATCCAACATCCGGCAAAGCCAACAAAAGCCGACAAAACCCGCTATCAGCACGCAAAAGCGGAAAAATGAAACAAATCGCCAGACATGAGCCAACGGAACGACACTTCAACCCGCTGATGGAGGAGTCTTGGATCCGCCCTGTTGCCCTGGGTCAAGCTGGGAACCAGGCCTCACTGGACACCATGTGAAAACCAGGTTTCCTTTTTAAGGAGTATCCATACAGGTATTCCCATAGAAGAAATCTGTCATTTTGCTCTTTGTCTCCTTCTGAACTCCCAAGGGGGCTCTGGGCTTCTTGCCTGCCATAGGCCCACACGTGCGCTCCTTGCTTCTGCTTCCCACTGAGAGAGAGAGAGAGAGAGAGAGAGAGAGAGAGAGAGAGAGAGAGAGAGAGAGAGAGAGAGAGAGAGAGAGAGGTGGACAAAGGCCACCAGCCAGCCAGTCAGTCGCACAGGAAGATAAGTAGCTGGAACTTAAGATTGCCATCACATATCCACATGTGGAATGCACTGAGTAGTTTTGGGCCTTTGGCTCTTATCTTTGTTTGTTTGTTTGTTTGTTTGTTTGTTTGTTGTTGTTGTTGTGTATCAGCGGGAAATCGGGCCCAGCGTCCCTATGCAAGGATTTTTTTTTTTTTTTATTTTTTTTGATTGGCACAAACTGGGAACCGAGCCCAGCGTCCCATAACGAGTACGTTCAGAAAACTTCATCAGAAAATTTCATGAGAATGAGGCAAGGAACTACTAGAAAAATCTAATTGGCCTAAGAATGGAAATTTAGAAATTGAGATACAGGGGCCATTACCCGGCTTTGGCTCGAAGAATGGGAGCTACTTCAGACATGTCCATGACAACTTTCATGATTAAGCAGAATTCAGAAACGACTCAGAAAACCCTCCATCAATCCTCTTTACCCCCCTCCGCCACCATCTCTGCTGCTGCTATGCCATACTCCCATCCTGCCAGTTAGGCCCCTCCCTGGTAGGACGCGTGATAACCCACCATCTTCTCCCACACTCCTTATTTTCTTTTTGAAGTATCTTCTCTTTTTTTGGCTCAGAAAAAAACGAAGCTACTTAGAAAATGACTACGACAAACTTCAGAATATGAACAGAATTTCAGAAAACTACTCAGAACCCCCCCCCCAATCCATCCACTTTACCACACTCCGGCAAGACTTACTACAGCAGAGCCAGCAGAGCCACCATCTCCACTGCTGCTATGCCCTATTCCCATCCTACCAGCTAGCCCCCTCACTAGTAGGACGCGTGATATCCCACCATCTCCTTCCCCACTCCCCCTCGTTCTTTTTTTGGCTCAAAAAATTGGAGCTACTTAGGAAATGACTACAACAGACTTCAAGAACCAGCAGGATTCAAAATCCGACTCGAACCCCCCCCCCCCTTCTCAATCCTCTGTTCCTCACTCCGGCAAGACTTACTGCAGCAGAGCCACCATCTCTACTGCTGCTATACCCTATTCCAATCCTACCAGCTAGCCCCCTCACTAGTAGGACGCATGATATCCCACCGTCTCCTTCTCCCACTCACCTCGTTTCTTTTGAGAATAGACCGCCGGGGTCCTACAAGAAACTCCCACAATCTCGACCTCCCTACCAAACCTTTCCAGAGTTCCTCAAAGTTGTCTTACTCCCTGCCGAGCTCTTCCAGGCCTCACACCCCCACAGCTGGGTTACAGGGCAACACAACTCGCCCCAGCTCCGGCCAGTGTCATCCCAGCAGCAAACCTTGGTTGTCCCGTGAGATGCCCACCCCAAAGCATCCCCAGTTCTCTCTACCAGGCCTCACGCTCCTGCGTCAACAGGTTAGGAATTTTAGTTTTTTTTGTGGGTGTTTATCTCACTTTAACCAGTGAAGTGCGCGCTCTGCAAGCGCATTGGGCAGTTGAGGCAAATAGAACTACACTTGAATTGATAGTTGTTACAAAACACAAAAGGTCCAATGGACAGATTTGTTCTATCGAGTGTAATTTCTTTCTTATTTTTTTGGTTTTTTTTTTATAATGATTGGGTAGTTCCCATTATTTGGAACTTGTTGTTTACCTTAAAGCACCAGTACATGGGCACCTGGGCCGTGCGTCTGACACCTCAAATTCCGGAGGTGCGAAACGAAAACACGACCACCGATTGAATTTATCAACGGTGGGCCCAGCGTTTGTCGTTTCGGCCTCGTTTTCTTGTGGCGACAAGTTTCGGACTGCAAGGCTGGGGCCGTGTACTTGTGGTTTAAATACAACATCTACAAATTTACTAAACATTCAGTTACAACCGAAGATTTATGATTATATTTTGTTAACTGTTCGTATTTTGTTTGTTTCATCAATATGTTCTCAAGTAACATACATGATGGTAGAGACCGCTCACCAAAGTAAGTAGACAACGGATCAGTGAGCAACTGTAACCACCATCATCTTGGTCTGAGGGGCGATTATGTATGGCACTCGCTCTTTCTTTTCTTTTCTCTTCTTTGAGCCTGAATCGGACTAAGATAGAGTGCTTTTAAATCGTCACGTACAAAAGGACAGCACGCAGTTGACGTCAGCATTCAGATGCGCTGTTGCAGAGTAGTGTGCCCAAGTGACGAGTGAGACACGAAGCGAGGCTGAGAGAAGTACTTGACAGGCATTGCGCACCCTAGTTGAAGAGTAACATATGCAAGGAAGAGAGAAGACACTCGGAGAAAGGGAGAGTGGCATGTGACGGTCAAGACGGAGAGTTCATCCTTGGTTGCTGTTTGCTGGAGTTCATCCTGTAGTCATGCCGAAAGTCGGTGCCCTCAATTGGTCGGCGACCAACCAGCTGACTGGTCCACCTGTTGGCACCTACCAGCCGGCTGCTGGTCGGCACCCGGCAAAAAAACAACAACAAAAAGCTCAGACCACCATAAACCTCCCCGACCCCCCATACCCCCCC